GAGGAGTTACTTTTTTCAAGTACAAACTGCGCATATATGGTCGCTTTTAAGGACAAGCGGGCCAACCCAGATTTCAGGGGTATCCAGAAATCTTGACCTACACCGAAAGGGGGCGTTGCCTCACCCATAGGAGAAGTTTGGTATCATTGGTGTGTATATTTGTTTGGTTATAGAGAAAACGAACAAGGGGCAAAAACTTTACCTTCGATTTTCTCACAACAGCTTTTTTCGGGATAGCCCACTTGCCTTTAAAAGCGACCATACATGTTTCAAGGGCTTGTGATGCAGCAATACCGCATCCCTCTATGTTGAAAAGATACTGTATCCGTCTTTGTTGAAGGGATTCAGCATCCCTCTTTGTTGCAGCAATACCACGTCCCTCTTTGTTGCAGCAATACAGCATCCCTCTTTGCTAAAAGATACTGTATCCCTTTTTGTTGCCGCAATACCACATCCATTGCAGCAATACCGCATCCGTCTTTGTTGCAGCAATACCGCATCCGTCTTTGTTGCAGCAATACCGCATCCGTCTTTGTTGGAAGGATAATGTATCCATCTTTGTTGAAGAGATTCTGCATCCCTCTTTGTTGCAATACCACATCCCTCTGTTGCAATACCACATCCCTCTTTGTTGCAATACCGCATCCTTCTTTGCTGAAGAGTGACACTGTATCCTTCTTTGTTGCAGAGATATTGTATCGCACCTGGCCATGATTTATCCCGACAGACGAGGTCGCAAAAGCCTGTCTCCGAAAGGATTTACTTGTAGTTTGGGTTGATGGGGAAGGCACAGCATACTATAGTCATAGTTAGGAGGAGACCGTGTTTCTTATCTGTGCTCACCCTGTTGGGACTGGAGGGTGCCTCTGAATGAACATCCTATAACTACTGAATGCTCCTGGTTTGCTTTGTATCTGTTATTTGCTGACTTTCTGTGTGTTGTTTTTGTCTGTTGTTTCATGTCTGTTGTTTCATGTCTGTTGTATCTGTTGTTCTGTCTGTCTGTCTGTTTTTTCTATATGTTTTTTTCTTTCTGTTGTTTCGGTCTGTTTTTTAATGTCTGTT